TTATGAAGGGTAGCTAACTTCAGCAGTCTATGTGCTGAAACTTGTAAGTTCTACATCTAACTGATGTAGCCATATTTCGGTTGCCACAAACCATAAATTTTGTACTTTGTCCACCAGGGATGGTGCTGACATGTTTGACTTGCTGGGCATCACATGCTAAAGCCATCCATGTCTTTTCAATAGGCATTATCTTTGCCTATACATGTCCCTTCTTAAAAGGAATTGAAATCACGTTTCAAGAAATCATAGATGCAGAACTGGCATTGCCTAGTCTAATTGGAAAAATTAAAAAATGGAAAAAGATAGCAATTTGGTTTTGATGTATCATGAAGCTCGTGACTCATCCAGTGTTCACTAAAGTTTTAAGAGTACCCATGGTTCTATATTTGTCTGGAAGTTTTGGCGTTCTGAGTTGATATAAGCAACTCCACTCTCTCTTTAACATTTATTGTAAACTAAAACCAAGATGGCTAGTTTGATTTTGAATGACAATCATCTTAACAGTGAATATGTCCATGTCAACTTTTGCTTCTATTGTGGATTCTTCAGTAATTTTACTTACGTCAATATATTTCCGACTTCAGGAGTGTATATCATTGCCCGTTTTGCAATTTATGCCGTGTTGGGAAAGGTCTTGGGATTGATTACTTTCATTGCATGACTTGCAACTGTTGTTTGGGTATTAAGTTAGTGAACCACAAGTGCCTGGAGAAAGGTTTAGAAACAAACTGCCCCATCTGCTGTGATTTTTTATTCACATCAAGCTCAACAGTTAGAGCTTTACCTTGCGGCCATTATATGCATTCCACATGCTTTCAGGTTTTGTATACTCTCTCTTGCTTTCAGTCCATGTTTCTTCTGTGTTTCTTCATTTATCTTTTTATTGTGCATTTCAGAAGTTGGCTGATTTTTCTCCTCCATGTCATGTTCTATAGGCATATACTTGCAGTCAGTATACGTGTCCAATATGCTGCAAATCCTTGGGAGATATGGCGGTAAGAGAACACTTTCTTGTTATAGTTTTTGTCAGAGATGTGCAATACCATGTTCAGTGTAATATAGTTTGTATCTCATCGGGGCCCTTGAGGAGATAACAGTGAAATTGATGATCAGTTGAACTAGATACAGAAAGGTTTAGAAAATGGGGATAAACAATTGAAGTGTTGTTACTTAGTTGAGAATTGGATTTTTCCCTACTCATTAACTACACTTCTGCAGCATTTACCAAACCTTTTCAGTATGTTTGTTGGTGATTTATTCATTTGATACCAAAAAAACTTGAATTTTCAGCCTTCAGTTTGATGTAGCTTTTCCAATGGCTTTATATGGACCACGGGAAAGACAATTGTAGTAATTATGTTTAATTAGCCAAGAAATGTTTGAAGCATCATTATGTTAAGACAATTATTGTAAAACCACTCAGGTTTATTTTGGCATGCTTGATGCATTGTTGGCTACTGAGGAGCTGCCAGAGGAATACAGGGATCGTTGTCAGGTACACATGCCTCTACAAATGATCTTTCTGGCACTTTGCACACTAGTGAATGTCAACACAATGCTGCATTTATTTCTACAGAAACAAGAAAATGCTTTTCAAGTCATGTAGATTATCCAAAACGACATTGGGACAGGAAATTGGTTCTTTGGTCTAAATTGAATTATCTTGATTACAATTAACAGAGCTATTACTTGAGATCTCCTTTTTATGAAGAAAGAAAGAAAGAAACCCCTGATTGCAACATTAATGAATTCACTTTAAACTTCATATTTGTACGGTTTCCCTGATTACACACTGCAAGTATTCATACTATCCACACAATCTTGAAATCTCTTTTGCTTTTTTTTTTGCTCCTCTCACCAGAAAAGGGTTTATCACGAGCGTGCGAGTTTTGCAGTGAAATTTCTTATGCCTTTTTATGTGAAAACAAATGGATTTTCTTAATTGCCAAGGGCATTGATACGCGTACTGAAATTAACTGGCTGATAAAGTTCTCCTTGTGTCCTGGATTTCTTCTATATCAAAATCAAGTCATCAGTTTTTTTTTCCCCCTAGTAGAACTAGTCTATTAGGAATTGAATCTGTGACCTCTTGTTGAAAGACACCACTACTACTGGGCTATAAGCTCGTTGGTCAGTCCTCAGTGTTTGATTAGCGCTAGTTTCATTCAGAAGTTGTACTTTATCATATTGATCATACTCATTGAAGACATCTAATGTTCATATTTGTAATGCAGGATATACTGTGCAATGATTGTGCTCAAAAGGGGTCCGCACAATTCCATTGGTTATATCATAAGTGTGGGTTTTGTGGATCATATAATACGCGGGTAATCAAGAATGAGGTGACCCATCCCAACTGCACCACATATCACCGATAACTTTCATTTTCTAAAACAAAGAGGTCTCGGCGGTACTCTGTATATACATTTATGGCTAATCACTCAATTTTCCCACAAAGGAGACTCTTTCCTAATGAGTTGCCACGGTAGACGCCCATTATTTTTGGTTTCTGTTTCTGTTTCGGGTTCGTACGTCAGCTTTACCCGAAGGTAGAGGCAAGAGAGCATAGTTAATATACCTCAGCTCAATGTTAAATAGATAGAAACATTATTTAAATGCTGTTATGTACATAGATATCTGTTTGGTCAATCTTCCTCCTCTTCAAGCCTTGCTCGACAGGGTAAGCTTGCTCAAATTTTAAAAGGTTTGAACAATGTTCTTGTCCGAAATTCCAATACAAAGAAGAGGGTCAGGACTTTGTATCATTGGCACAGTAATTCTTTTACTAGTATATTAGATGAATGGAACAAGAGCATCGGTCTTGCGTTGTCAAAGGATCATTGGGATTTGTATTGAATTTAGGGATACATTCACTTTCATGCCTATGTTCCCTTGTGGATTTTCCGAAGGATCACATTTGACGTTGGATTTGTATAAATTTTTCTTCAGCGCTAAATGTAACTCAGACATGAATCTGAGAGGCCTGGACCAGCTCGATCATATTTTATATAGCTGTATAGGTTTACGTGTTGGTGTCTGGAGTCATTTTTCCAATATATGACAATAAAGAATAAAAAATTTTGGATCTAAGAAACAAGTTGTTGGCCATGTATCCGATTGTAAAAGTCTGCTATTCAGCCCTGAATTTATCTATGCAGGAATTGAGAGAGAGAGAGAGAGAGAGCTTAATGTCAAATTCACCTAAACCTCGGCATCGTTAGTCGAAATCTGAGATTTTTCTTCTATTTTAGGACCCGTGCTTTAAAATTTGTACTCGTCGTGGTCTTAATCATCATGGTGTAGGAGAAACTAATTTTGCATTGGGCATATGAACTTTCAATTTTTCCCAATTTATCTGTACTTCTATTTTTGATGAGTTTATAAACTTTATCAATCAACTGATATTTTTGTCATACAACATCTATTTTTTATCCAATTAATTGACTGTTTTCTTTTTAATGTTTCTCATTTTATTTCATGAACTTCCAGACGTTATTAATCGCATAAAATTATTATAATTATCTGAAATATATAATTTTCAATGTTATTGTATTTCAAAATTTTATTTTAACTACGTACTCTTTTTTTTGTTTCTTATAAAATTACAGTAGCTATATTTATTTTCTACTAGTCAATAATAAGACATCCCTTGACTTTAAACTTAAACAGCACTGTTGTTTTGCTACATGATTAAAAGAGACAAGGTTATCGGGGTGATCGGTAAAATAACTAAATAATACAGGTGGAGGGAGTTAATCATAACAAACTGATCTATCTTATTTACGTTATTGAAAAACCGGGGGCAGGGGGGGGGGGGGGGGGGGGGGATGTGGGGGTTGATGGGGAAAAAAAATCTCTCTTGCTAATGGGAGCCAGGTCCCTGTAGTTTCAATTTTTATCACTTGGAACCCATTGTTTCAAAAGTTTGATTGGGTCCTACAATTTGACTTCTAGAATGGAGCTATTACCCATTCTATCCTAATACAAGTTTTTTTTTTTTAAAAAAAAATTAAATATCAACGTCAAATTTGATCAATGGTCAAACTTGATTAAGATCTCAATTAATCAACATGCATTTTTGTTCCTTTTTTTGTCTAAAAATAAAAAATAAATTATTTTAAAATCTGATATGATATTTTTTTCTCACAAAACTCATACATATTTATAATTCTTATTACATCTATATTAAAATCAAACTAAAAGCATATTTATGAATAAAACGGCTAGATGTAAAACTATTTAATGAGATGAACGAAGTTGTAGTTTGCTGCTCAATCAATCCTATATTGGCACCATATGCCCCTCCTAAAGTCATAACTTTGATCCTTATATGGAAACAAAATTAAAGATTGAGGAGCTAACTTTGTACCAAATTTGAAATATTGTTATATTAAGGATTCAATTATCCTAAAATCTTATATGATATATCTTTTTTATAACATCAACTTCTGATTGTAATCTAATTTGATTTATATTAGGATTAAAATTAAAGATGATGTAAGGTTTTGTAACAAAATGAAGGAAGTAATTTGCTACTGAACCAATCTTTTGTTGGCACCATATATCATTTTTAAAGTTATACTTTGATGCTCATATAGAGACAAAATTAGAGAGAGGGGAGCTAACTTTACACCAATTTTGAAATACTGCTATATTAAGGATCCAATTATCGTTTTTTAAAGTACAGGATTTAATGTGATGAAAATGAATAGAAGAGGGACCTAAAGATTGCAGTTGTAAATAAACACCAACCTAACTAAAGTCTACCCGAACGTTAAAACCGCTCTCTCTCCTCTTATGAATTAACATAACCTATGTATCTCTCTCTCAGTGTAATATAAATTTCCTTTGTTTTCTTCATTCCACAATTCCCTCACAATCCAACCCTTTCAAGACGAACACACAGCTTCCTTCCTTCCTTCACATAAATAACAGAGAAGAGAACAACCAAAGACTCATAAATTAAAAGTAGTGATTTTTGTTTGTGAATAGGAATAGCAATGGCATCCTCATCATCACAAGAGAGATCAAAGCAACTACACAACTTTTCATTGCCTTGTTTGAAATGGGGTAATCAGAGACTCCTTAGATGTGTCAAAGTCAGTGATGATATTAACGATCATCAAGATCATCAGCATCAGCAACAAGGATTTCAATCAAAACCCATCAATTTGGTTTCTTATAAGAATCATAAACCAAACCCAATTCAAGTTAACAATTTTGCTGAAAAAAGATTGAAGCTTCCTTCTTCTTCTCCTTCTTTTGTTGTTGAAGAAGAGAAAGGAGGAAATATTGATGAATCTCCAAGACCCTGGAATTTGAGGACTAGAAGGGCAGCTTGTAAGGCTCCACTTAGAATTGAAGAGCAGACGACGAGGAGAAATGTTGCTGTTTCTCCAAGCAGGTATTTAGAGATTGATTCACCAAAGAAATATTATGAGAGTTTGATGATAAGGAGACAGCAGAGCTTCGAGATGAAGGAGAAAGTCAAGTTTTCGGTTCCTCTATCAAAGAGAGAGATTGAAGAGGATTTTCTAGAGATGGTTAGGATTAGGCCGCCAAGGAGGCCTAAGAAGAGGCCTCGAATTGTACAGAAGTATTTGGATGTAAGTATTTCCGGGTTTTGATTTTTCTTGTTCGTTTCTTGAGAAAATGTTGGGAAGTTTTGTTTTTGTGGACTGATTGGCTATAAGTTCTAATCGATCGTTTCGATTCGTTTAAATCAGTTTTTGGAGTTGTTGAAGGCATAGAATTTGAATATTTGAAAAGGAAAATTTTCTTGTTCGAGTACTAACCAGATTAAAAATTGTGGATTTCATTTCTGTTCCCTTTTAGTTTTCATCTTTTTACTGTTTGCTTCTTTTATATTTCCTAGTTGGTGTCAAGAATGCTGATTTATATTTTGTTTTTTTTTTGTTTTTTTTTTTGGTATATTTCGCAGTCAATTTTCCCAGGATTGTGGCTAGCTGAAATTACACCAGATTCATACAAGGTTCATGAAGTGCCTGAATCATGAAAGGTGATAATCTCGAGTTCCATGTTCATTATATTTCTATTTTTGGTTGGGGTATCCAATTCTATTGTTTTCTTTGATTACCTTGTTATGATTTACATGGGCAGTTTGAATTATTAGTTATGGTGTTGGAAATTGGTTTGCAGGGATCGAACTGAAAGCCAAATTGTTTTCTGGGGAGTTTCTTTATATTCTACTTCCTAACGCTGGTGCAATTCACCTCAACTAATGGTAATGCTGCACCATTTTTTGTAAATTGCAAATTTAATGAAAATAAAGTCTGAGATTCTTGCTTTGTTTAGCAAGTTTTTGATTTTTAAGATTCTGATTTCATTTATTGATTCCATCTTTTATTTCCCGAGGATAGTAAACGTATCCCATTTGTTGGTCATAGTCTACACATTAACCAAGCTGCTTCTTGATGTAAAGATGATGCTGTTCATAGCATGCTGTTCGCCATTCTTATATCCTCATCTGAAATGTTCTCAAAAAATGATTGAGTAATTCCATCTTCTTGGCGTAATGTTATGGTTAAGAGCAAGTTTCAAATTTATATCAGAAGAGTTCATTTAAGCTTTGAGTCTCTCTGTCTCAAGGTTTGTTTTGATGTATGAAGCTATGTGCTGTGCACCTTTACAATTTTTCTTGCGAGAAAACTCAATTAATTCATTGATTAAAGCCCAAATGCAAATCTTTTGTTAAAGGAATTTGATATGCGGGGGCAAAATCCTCTAGTGTCATTTTGATCTGATAGTTTGCTTAGAGGATGGCAACCTCATTCCTATCTTGTTTGGCATGAGTACAGAAAAACTGCTACTTTTAGTATGGCTTGGGATATCATCAATGATAACAGCTTTGCCACTGGATGCTTTTAGAGAGGCACCTGAGAACCTGAACAAAGAAAAGAAGTCTAGTTCAGTGACAAAAACTGTTGTCCTAGCGAATGGGAAACCAAATCGAGCTGCTATCATGCTATAGCCATGCCACCTGAACCACAGGCGCTTGCATGGATGTCTAGAAGAATGAGAATTAGGACCTCCTAATCATTGCCTTCATGTAGCCCCATAATGGTACCAAATATCGACTTAAAAATGCCTACTGGACCCTTCAAAAAATCTGTTTGGGGTGAAGTATTTCACAATATTTTCCTTGGTTGTGTGTTCTTCTGAATATTCCTGGAGAATAGAAATAGCCATTGTGCACTATCCGTTATGGCTCCGTCTCGTTGATTTGGGAGATGAAATTCCTTGCCCTCCAAAAGGGACTAAGCTGTAACTAGGAAATTATGATCTGACCATCTTCAAACAAATTTATCAACTGATTAAAAGTCCTTTGGCTTATTGTATATTATAAAATAAGATATTCTTGTGACTAAATTTAAGGACTATACTGGGTTTAAAAGACTTCTGGTTTGTTGTAAAATATAAAAATAAGGGCTCTCGCCGCCTAAGCTTTGGTTGACTAATCTAGGTCTTCTGATGAATTTTCTTCATGCTTTCTGACTTTGGGAATAGACCAAAGGAGAATTGTTGCAATTGCTTAGGAGCAATGTCAAGTCAGCAGCGCGATAAAGTTATTGAAGGTGAATCAGTTGAGTAATATGTAGCCATTTCCTGTTGTTTCGTCAGCAATAGATGGAAGCTTGCTCAGAAGACTGCTTTCACTGTATGAATAGGGCATGCAACACCTCACGAGTCTGCTAATTGTGTGCTATAATCTGACTTAGTTTTCGTTACTGCCCTCTATCCTGTTGAAAATTCTTGTAAACCTAGTTATAGGATAATTAGAGAAAATCTTTTTACCTGTCATCTGAATGCTTCACACTCAGCTCACCACTTACCACCTAGCTGCATTATCTCTCAACAGTAACCTAGCTGTGCTAGTGAAAGATGAGTTGCCTTAGGGAGAAACATGAACAATGAAACAGTATCCTACATCAAGCTATTTTCTGACACATAATTTGGGGTTCCAGATGAGTCCGATCTGAATTGAAGTGGCAGAGAAGTATCACATATCACTGTGAACAAAGATGAAACGACATAAGCGATGGTAAATCGGAATGTTTCTTTTCCTGTAGTGTAAAGTGTTGGATTTATTGAGTTTAAGACCTGTAAATGTGGAGATACAGAGCAAACAGAGGTATTCTCATTTGACATTCATAGCTGATTCGTTGTTTTTACATATGTAGCTGTAGCCAAAGATGGATTCAGTTGATATATGTTAAGACTTCCATATTTAAGAAGTCGATTGAGCTGGGTTTTTTTTTTTTTTTTTGGAAAAAGGGGGTTAATTTTTTGGAAATCTGGGTTCATTATGCATAATACAAGTAGGCTTGGCTTGTTTTGAGCTTTTGTAAACAGAGTTTAATATTAAGCCACCTAAAGCAGTGGTCCTCCAATCAGCATTGTAGGCTGCTGGTACGGTGCTTGAAGCGAGTAGTCATTTCTGTATCACAGTAAAGAATGCCTATTCAGGGATTTGCTTCTTCATATACTACATACAGCCTTGACCAAAAATCTTGTTATCTTTGCTACTTGCTGATTGCTTCTTTTCTTGAGCACTTTTCTTGTTATCCTATTTCTTTCATGATTTTCTAATCTTCTCATGGGATGACCTCATCCAAAACATTCCTTCGATTCTTGGATAGACATCGGCTTCGATGCCTTTATGATGAGTTGGAACCTCTTGTTTAAGAAAAAGCCTGTGCTGCCACAGGCTATCTTTGGCCCAAAAGGGCTATCATTGGATTAAACTTACATGTCTCACTCTAGATTCTACATACTAGCTCCTCCCTTTGGTTGGCCATTTATCCAGTCATCTGCACAGAACATTCCTCATGCCCAGATGCAGAAAGCCTTGATTGGTCACATCATCTTCCACTCAAGACTGTCAGATAAAAAACCTCTTTACATCGAAACTCGTGTGGAAGTATTCCTCTTCCTACACTTTTGAACCATATTTTGCAGTTGTGGAAGATTGTCAGCTTACCATATGGTAGCTGCCGTCGTTGTCTCTGCACAATATGAGCAGCATAGGTAAATTTACCATTTTTTATCCATAGAGATATGCTTTTCGTATTGTTAGCAACTTAGCATAGGCATATTGAGAGCTATTCTAGAGCAGAAAATCATGTCCACTGAGAACACTCTATTCGGTCAGATCAAAGAAAAAGGAAAAACAAAAACAAAATGCTGTTCCAATTCTAACCCTTTTATTGCTTGCAACAAATTAACAGCAATACAGCATAACTGTTAATTTCATTGAAGATGAATGTCCATTCAATCTTTAGATTTGCCTCTGCTTTCTATCATTTCATATTCAACTTGCGAAATTAAGAATTACTATTGTGTAATTCAATCTGCATGGCCAGGTTTTGGCTTTAAGGAAGTCCGAAAGTAAACATTATTATTATTTTGCGAAACTTTCTTTTCTTATTTGCTCCATTACTATTGTTTTGGGAAAATATTACCACTTGAGTTAATACATGTGACAGAAAGAAACAAAGAAAAAGAGAGAGAAAAAAGTGATTTTAAAATGGATAAATCATATATATCAATTGGGATGTCATAATGCAGCCCCCCTATATACATCACTCTCCAAGCCTGCATTATGACATCCAAATTGATATATATATGTAATCTTATTTATATTTTTCCTCTGATTGATAAATATCAGTAAAGGTGCTTTCGTTTGTCCAGCACTGCCCCCTGTATATATCACTCTCCAAGCCTGCATTATGACTGTAATAACAAAAAAAAAAAAAAAAAAAAGCACTTCCATTTTTTTTTTATTATATTATTATTATTAAAAAAAAAACAAATACAAAAAATACAAAAAACCAAAAAATAAATTAAAAAAAAAAGAAACAGATTGAAGTCTATCCCAATTTTTAAAATTCAGTTTAGCTTGGTTGGATCACCTTTCAATAACAGAATTTGAGTTCAAATAACTAAAAAATCTGAATTTTTTAGTATTTGATTTAGGATGAAACTTGAATTTAAAAGTGTTTGATTGAAGGTGAAACTCAAATTCTCAATGTCTATAAAAGGGCAGTATCCTGAAAAAAGAGGGAGGAGAATTCTCGACAGAAAAGGAAGATTTCTAGGTTATGTGAGGAGGAAAAAAAAAGGAGGAAAAAAAGGGGGAGAGAAAAGAAAAAAAAAAAAGACAAGAGGGAGAAGGGAGAAGAAAGAAGAACAGGAAAAAAGGGGAATTAGGGAAACGGGTGCCAAATTGTGGTATGCGGGCTTAGTTTTATGGAGAAGCTTTTAAATAAAAACGTGGGTTAGGCTTAGATATGGAGCTGGACTTATTTCAGTCCAGACTAACCTTAGGTTTTTTTTTAAAAAAAGAAATGCAAGGACAAGAGGCTGGGCTCCAGCCCCTCCCAAATTCCCTTTCCCCTCTCCTAAACTAAATATATATATATATATATATATATATATATATATAATGAAAAGGAATGAGGCTGGACATGGTTAGTACGATTTCTCCTATATATATGTATATATAATAAAGAATAAAATAGGAGTAGAGAAGAAGAAGAATAATAAAAAATAAAATGTTGGCTATAATATAGATTTGTTTCTTCATGCTTAGCATTTCGTAAATATTTTTTTTTTTTTGCTTAGCATCTTTGTATTCAATTCAAACATTTAATTATTTTAATTAATGTAATTATTTATTTATTTATTATTATTATTTTTCATATATTTTATAATTATCCGTAATTAAATTTTAACATTTAACAAAGTCTTCTATCCGATAGGGACTATTATTTAAATAATGTAAAAAAATAATAAAATTTTCAACAAAGTCTCCTTCGATAGAGACTGTTGTTTTGTGGTGAGGTCTCTTTTTTATAGGGACCGTCATCATAAAAAAAAAATCATCATTTAATGTCCTTTGACACACCAGCTGTGTCAAGGCTCAAAGTGGATCCGATGTTTGAACCGACGTGTCGTTCGATGAAGGGGACCGACGATCGTTTCAATACGATGCCACGCCCAAAATTAAAAAAAAACAAATTTTGTTAAAAAATTAGAAAATAAGTTGGCATATATAAACAATATAAGAGATAAATTTAGGACTAAAACAAGATATGGTAACTTTCCTTAGAAAGGGCACTTTTGGGGTGAATAAATGTCTTCCTAAAAGTGTAACCAACTACTTACCATAGAATCTCTAGACCAAGTGTTATTTTTAGGTTCCTAGTTTCTTAATACTAGGTGGCGACTCCGAAGCTCAGTAAATAAACTTGTGAATATTAATCACATTTAGAAATTTAATTTTTGGGAGTCCCGTCCGACGTCGGGTAACGGCAATGACATCCAAATTGACACCTTTGGTTATGTTTTGAATTATTTCATAAACCAGCAGAAGCAACAATATTTGAATTTAAACTAAAAAATTTATGTTCCAACCTGAAAAGGGTGGGTGAAAAATTAAGGCAGCAGAAGGATAGGCTACTTCCACTTTTGAAGTTCAATTCTTTAATGGGCCTACAAAATAACTTAGGAAAAAAAAAATCCAACTCTACTTTTCTATAGGCTAAGCAAAGCTAACCTGTTCAACGTCTTCTAATTGCACAATGATACCTAGCTATAGAAGCTGAAAATTAGTAGGTATGATTTATTTGTTTGAAAAAAATAAAATAAAAAACTGAGCTGTAAAGTCTAGCAAAGCTCCACCTTCACTTCTTGAGTTCGAATCTTAAGTCAGCATTCAGAATAATTTTTTCAGAATGCATCATACCAATACGAGGAGTGTGCGTCTCTCTTTTGATCAACAATAGGTATGGTTCGTGTCAGAACCATATTGACTGAATTGGAAACAATGGACAAAATGAAAATTGATTTTTAATCTTCTTATCCTTATCATCTGCATGGTTCCCAACAACCCTGAAGGAAGCTAACATGAAGCCCCCTGGCGGTACTGACCGTCCCCACTTATGTCCAATCGCCATCCATATTTCTTTCATGTATCGCATTTGTCTCTTACACTATTTGGATTATAACTTCCAGCTTGAAGCTTAAATAGTGTTTATCCCTTGGATCAAGCTTGGGTCGATCCTTATTGGGTAAATGAATATAAACTATACATCCAAATATTTTAAGAGATAAATTGAATGAAATTCCATTTTTAGAAAAGAAATTTTTAAAGCATTCAAAAGTAGCAATGAATTTAAGTACTTGTGTAAGCATTATGTTTATCAAATATGCTACAGCTTTAACTACTTCGCCGTAGATATACATAGAGACATGCATAGAAAACATAAGAGACTAGGCCATTTCTGATAAGTGTCGATTTTTTTGCTCAGCCTATACCATTTTGCTGAGGTGTATCAACACAAGTGGATTGATGATGAATGCACTTATCTCTAAATCAAATTCCAAAAAATTCATTGAAATACTCAGTACCACTATTAGTATGAAAAATACCAATTTTAGTTTGAAATTGAGTTTCAATCATAGTATAAAGAATTTGAAAAGGTGTCTTAATTTCAGATTTATCAACTAGTAAATATACCCAACACGATCATACTTACAAATAATTTTTTGCCCGAATAAGTAGGAATTCGTGAACAACCCTAAACATCACTATGAATTAAATAAAATGACCGTGAAGGTTGATAAGGTTTTAAAGGACATATTTTTATGATTTTTTGACAAAATGAAATGTTCACAATGAAAAAGAGAAAAATCTAAGCCTTTAAATCGAGTAGGAAATAATTTTTTAAGATAGAGAAAACTAGGATGCCCTAATCTATAGTGCCGTAGCATTATTTTATCTTTAACGAGAGATAGAACAGATATTGATTAGTCCTTGAGGTCTTTTATCCTTGGAGGCTTCATCTTTAAAATAGTAAAGACCATCGATCATTCTAGCACTCGTCAATCTTCTTCCTCGAATTCCGATCCCAAAACACACAATAGAAATCAAAGAAAGTGACACTACAATTAGAATCTTTTGATAATTTGTTGACATATAGAAGATTGCATGCAAGTTTTGGTACATGTAGAACAAATTTAATGGATAAAGTATCCGACAAAATAATTGAACCTTTGCCAGCAACAAGTGAGTAAGACCCATCGACTTTATGAATTTTTTCATGACCCAACAAGGAATATAAGTATGAAATAAATTTGAAAAACTAGTTATATGGTCAAATACTCCGTAATCAATGATCCATGGAGCGGATTGTGATAAAGAGTAACATACTAAGGCATTTAAATCACTACCCGTTTACGTCAAGAAGCATTAGGAGTACCGTATAATCCGTAATTAGATTTGAGCCGTTTCAGGATATGATCCACTTGTTGTAGACTAAAAGGAGCCGCCTCGCCTTTATTGGCGTAGGGTTTTATTTGAATTTTCCTTCATGTTTCCCCTTTCAATTTTCTTATTTCCCATGGAGCTTCTAACAAGTTTCCCGGTATGCCTTGGCTTGTTGCAATAATCACACCAAGCATGGTTTTTGTCATCAAATTTCTTTATTGTCATTCTACCCGTATGGGTATTTATCGTCGCCAATGCGAGTTTTTTGTTGAGTCGCTCGAGGCTTTTTTTCCGAGGATCACCAATCGGCGACTCTCTTCTCGACGAACCCCAACAAAAACTTTACCAATAGACGTAATGGGCCGTCTCCCAATTATTCATCCTTTAAACTCATCAAACTCAACATTGAGTCCTATGAAGAATTTGAAAATCCGATCATCCTCTACCTTCTTCTTGTAATGGTTACAACCCTTAAAAGATTTCCATTCATAAGAATTAAATAAGTCCGAGTCTTGTTATAGACGTTTTAGAGAATTGAAATATTTTGTAACATTGTCATCACTTTGGTGAATTTCTCCAAGTTTCAGTATTATTTCATATACTTTGGATTGATTTCCCAAGTTAGAATACATTAAATTAACATTATCCCAAAGTTCCTTTGCTTGTATGATAACACATGTAATTGGAACTTATATCCTCCTCCATAGAGTTCACTAACCATGTCATAAACATGGAGTTCTCTACATCCCAAACTAGATAGGCCGGATCATCCTAGTTTGGTTTCTTCTTCTCACCAGCTTAAATACCCAATCTTTTTCCTACCTCGGATGTACATGCACACAGATTGAGACCAACGTAAGAAATTTTCTTCATTCAGCTTGATGAGTGGTAATATGAACTAGAATCTAAAGATAAGTCATGAAGATTCTTTGTCTTATTGATGGAATCCTTAGTTTTGGAAGAGGTAGATGGATGAACAAGAGTCGGTGTAGAATCCGATGTAATTTCAAATATGGTGGTGATGTAGAAAATAATTAGAGTGGTTGACGACTAGGGTTTCTTGTTTCAAAAAAAATAGGCCTCGCTTCGATACCATGAAAATTGATATGAATCACTAAATATTAGTTGTATTGCTGTACCTCTATAGATATTACAACTTATATATATATAGCTACATATAGCATCTAAACTATGAAATTATAAACCAAAAAATTATAGCTATAAATCTTTCTAAACTCCTTGATTAGAGCCTTAGATTCCTATATTTATTGCCTAGGATACACAGATAAATTTAGAATATTTCTTATTCCAACATATACCTGTAAAAGTTGAGAATTAGTAGGTATGATTTATTTGTTTGAAAAAATGAAAAAACTAAGCCGTAAAGTCTAGCAAAGCTCCGCCTTCGCATCTTGAGTTCGAATCTTAAGTCAGCATTCAGAATAATTTTTTCAGAATGCATCATACCAATACGAGGAGTGTGCGTCTCTCTTTTGATCAACAATGGGTATGGTTCATGTAAGAACCATATTGACTGAATTGGAAACAATGGGCACAATGAAAAATGATTTTTAATCTTCTTATCCTTATCAACTGCATAATTCTCAACAACCCTGAAGGAAGCTAACGTGAAGCTCCCTGGCGGTACCGTTCGTCCCCACTTATGTCCAATCGCCATCCATATTTCTTTCATGTATCACGTATGTCTCTTACACTATTTGGATTATAACTCCCACTTGAAGCTTAAATAATTTTTAGCAAGAACAGTGAATATTCTTGGCCAACACACAGGAAAAGTGCTTTCATTACATTTTGTTTTTATCAGAAGAATGATTTGATTTCCGACTTCACAGAATTGAAATGTGGGATCCAATGTTGATAGGTAGTCTGCTATCAGAGGAAAAGCTTGAAGTGTCATATTCCTAACTAATACTTGGATAGAAAGCTTTCAGAACCAGATTTGGGCACCTGAGGTGGTAAGGTTGTGTGGAAATCAAACCTTGCGGTTGAACCATAATGCTCTCCATGGCATCTCTTAAGAGGTGTCATATGGCATTTACTAGGCTGAAAGTGCATGCTCTCTTTAGGTAATCTGGGGTTTCATAGATGATGCATTGCCATTCTGTTTGCCACTAATTTAAACCGTTTCAAATTGGGAGGTTCTGTTTCGTCATGAAATCCTTGTGAATGGTGTTGCTTGAGGAATAAGAAACCGATGTCAATTAGAGAACTCTAATCAATATTGCATTAAATTGAGTGAGTGGGGAAGGAATTAATAGGATTCTAACTTCAATATCATCCCACTTTTAGGGAGATTTTTAGCTGAAGCTAATGCAAACAAAAAATCAGAAAAGTTTGAAGGCATTTTATCAAGGGCTTGGTTTTTCAAGCCCACCCCTTGAAACATTGCCTTTTTCCTTAATCCCACTACAAGAAACAAAACATAGCCTCTCCAAGAGACCTCTCAAATCAATATGTACATACATAAATGAAACAAAGACTTAAAAAAAGTTGCCTTTGAATAAACAAAAAGAGTCTCCCTCTAATGAAGAGAAACCAAAAAAGATAAAAAGAATGTGACAAGGCTTGAAAGAAGGTTACCTGATCTTTTGTCTCCTAAGCTTGTGACATATTGACATGCATGAGCATTGAACATTTCCAAGAACATCCTCCTTCCATCCCTCCTAATCCCTTATTGGCATTATTATATATATATATATTTGTATAATTCACTTAATTAGCTCTCTTAATTCCTAACCTCAATAATTTCTCCTTAGTCCTTACTAGCTTCCAAGAAACTTTCTTAAACATTACATGACTTAGATCAGCAAAAACCACAAGAACCCACAAAACTATAATTTAGAAAATAAGATCATTTACTGTTGAAGGATGAAAAGGATCACTTTCTGATCTTCTTTTCCTTTCCATTGCGCAAAAAGGATCCCAACCCAAAGAGATTTGCAGTTCCTTTATAAATGTAAGGAGGTGGAACATTTAAGATAGGACTAATCTTACCATAAGAACCACTCTTCTTCAATGGGGGCTTTTGTGGTAAGGAATACACATAACTAGACACCGAAGATGGTGATGACGATGTTGACTTTGCCATGGCAGCTGATTGTTGCTTCTGTGAATTGTTCTTGTGCATATCCTTCAATGTTGCTCTCTTTGCATTTGGCACGGAACCAGTTGAGTTGCTTCGTGATAAAAGTGGTAATGAGCATAGGCTTCTCTTGATATCACAATTGACACTATTACTTCTCTTGAATCCCCAGAAAGATTTGGACTGAGGCTTTTCCTCCAACAAATCAGAATTCACTATCATTAATTCCCTCATGCTATTTTTAGTTGAATTCTCATTAGTAGAAGGACATGGAAGAGGAGGAAGTGAAGCTTTTCGTGGCGATTCATGTCTATATATTTGCTTAGAGGCAGTAATTCTTCCTTGAATTTGAACTGGCAGGATCATGCCATCTGCGAAAAGCTCATCTGCCGGAGAAGATTCATGGCCTAAACTATTGCAAATACTGAACTCAAAATCAGAATTTGAGTCCAATAATGCCGTGTCCCTTCTTGACAGTTGCTCAATTTCTCTGTCATTTTCTTGGACAAGATCATTAGAGAATGATATTCGAGGGCTTGTTTCTGAGCACATATTTGTGATCTCAGTTTTAGATTCTTACTAGCATATAAAAGACAATGGAATCAATGAGAGAGTAATTTTAGGAGCAAACAGTGGATATCAAGAAAAAGAAAACTAGAAATAAATTCAAGAATGAGAGCAGATGTCGTAGGAGGAGAGAAAAAAGGGTGGCAAAAAGATTCAAAGATGATGGCTATGAGAAGAACATTTGAGTTTGAACGCTGACAATGTTGGTTTAGACTAGGAAGTCAAAAAAGAGAGATACAAAGAATTGAATGTCAGAGTTTCAAAGAACGAATAAAAGGGACAAGACAGGAAATCAAGAGCAGCTTTTTTGGAGCTCTGAGAATGTAAGTGATTTTAGGAAAATTCAAGGATCATACAGAGGAGCATGTTCTGTTTTTCTCTGAAATAGAGCAGAGCAGACTGCAGAGAAAAGCTGTTTGTTTCTATTTAGAGAAAAGAAAGGAGAGATCAAGAGTAAAATAGAGAGGCGGTGGGCTGACAAACAAATAGAGTTCAGAAGGAAAATTCGTTGGTGAGCTTTGTGGGACATTTGGTAAATGCATAGATGAGTAAATGAAGCCCAACCCCACGGGAGAGACAGAGAATTGGCTTTTACTTCAACCTGGGGCAAAGCAAAATTGCACACAAGAATTTATCACTACTTCTCAAGAAAGTAATTTATTCATCAGAGAAGAGAGAGAGAGAGAGAGAGTTAATATTCAAAGTACTAGACTTGTCAAGATGTGATTGAAACTAGAATTTGCTCAAAATGAGAAATTTAGGGTAGTTTTTGGAGAAGAAAGAGACGGCAAAGACATCCTTTTTTTGAAGAGTTGGAGATAGAGTGAGTATTTGTTAAGAGAAATGGCCTAGGGTTTAAGTGTTAACCCTCTCACCATATAATTGACTTTTGGGCTAACACTTCAACCACTGAAAGCTTCATTTGTTCTTTCAGAAAAGTTTCTATAAGTTTTTATATTTTTACTTTCAAGGTGGAACAAAAATTCTCCTTTGTCAGGTTTGAACAGTTCATTCCTTTTACTCATTGTTCAAATAATTTAATTTCTTTGGTAGTTTATCAACTGCTCGTTCTGGATCTTTTACCACCTTCTCCTCCTCTTGCTTCCTTTATGAAATGGTGAAGAAACAATAATATTCTTCTCATCAATATCTGGTGGGTCACAATGATCTCATCCAAAAACTCTAGACATTTCAACTCTTGACCAAGTTTTACCTTTGTCTTAAAAACTATGATTTAATATATCTAAGATGATGGAATAGGAAACGTTTTCTTCGGGAAATCGTGATACATCTGATTTTGCTGTAAATGAGCACTATCTCCTTACTTTTCTTGCGCGTTAAACATCTGATTTGACCACCATGAACGTCGCTAGTGATGTATTTGCATTTTATCTTCTTCTTATTTTTATTTTTTTTCTAAGTCCAATATGTTTTTTGGTGGGGGCATACTTGATATATATATATATTTTTTAATGCAACGATAAGTGATATATTTAAATTAATTTATATGTTAATTGAGATTAAATCCTATCCTCAAATAACTTTAAAAGTATCATCTCTACATCGACTTCGTACATTAAAATAATAATAATAATAATAAATTTTTTTAATACCATTTTCAAAGTATTTGTATTCTTAATAATATGACAATTGCTTAATGTTTTGATAACTCTAGCTTCTGAATAAATTAATTCTCTTATCACATTGGTGTTTGATCATTTTGAATGCTGAACTTTAGGACGTTCTCATTGGTTTAGAAAGGGCTTGGGAGGCTATTATAAACAAGTGGTGCTTGAAATTGATTCTCAATTATCTATTTAGTTATTGTTTTCTCAAAATTATATTTATGGAGATTATAGTCATTTGGTTTATACCATTCTTGTGGTAGATTCAGATTTTTCATACTTGGACGTAAACTAATCGCATTGCATATTGATTAATTTTCTTTGCCTACTCTTTTTCATTAAGTGCTTTTTATTTTTTATGATTCCAATAGGTTGTATTAACTTTTTGTGAGAAGATATTTGTAAAGTTGCAACTTCTAGACTTTATAAATTTATATACTCTTTGCAATTTTGACTCTCATTTGAATTAAAAAAAAGAAAGAAAGAAAAAAGATCAATAATTTAGGTGAAATGACTGAGGAGAGAAGATCATCTCCAAGATTAAAGTCCTTGAATGATTGAAGTCATACGTTGTTGCATCAGGAGAAATAACTCACCAACAAGCAAATTTAATATCAAGTTTTTTATTTTGTAAATAAGTACAATGATTCATGTTACACGATCATCATGGTGGGAGTTGAGATTTGGCAATCATGAAAAGGTGGTATTATTAATTTCTGGTTTCTGTCAATCTTGATACTAGCTATGTTTCAAGTTTCCCTCTTGGCCACTACTTCCAATTAATTGTGTGATTGATATGCTTACTAATAAAAATAATCTGGTTACGTGCTAATTCGTAATTAAGAATAATGCAGATTATGCAAAACATGACGTGGAACAAAGATGTAGATTGGCTTGAAATAAATGTAGTTGAGGATATTTAATCACGAAATGATCTGTCTTGAGCTACAATATATGAATATTTTGCATCACTTTAGGTATGGTTTAATTATTATTAATAGAAAATCTTATTGGGGTTAGTTGAAAAAAACTTTTGACAAAACTCTGCTTTGCAAAACATGGCACCCACATCTTCTTAATTTGACATTATTATTCATTAACTAGTGAGATCTTTATCTTCAACATCACTGTTATTGAGATGTATTGACTTATAAGTTTCTTCTTCTTCTTCTTCTTTTTTTCCTTCCCCGTAAAGATGTGATGTTGGATGTTTTGTGATTTGAAAAAGAATGCCGTTGAAATGTCGATTCAATTAATATGTAAGATCCTTGTACATCTTTCTGGTATGCTTGATTGACCTTTGACTACATTATAGATAAATACTAATAAAGATTTACAAGAGAAATCAAAGACCACTATATATATATTCTTGTTGTTTTGTCTTTAATAAAAATACAGAGAGCCAACAAAATTCAGCATCTTTCGTCAATAGTTTTCACTGTTCAGTATCTTTCGCCAATAATTTTCACTGTTTTGTTCTTTCTTCCATTGTCCAATGACATAGACGGACAACTTTCTACAAGTGATGCTTTTGACAAAAAAAAAAAAAACGTTTTGAAAATTTGTTCTCCTCAACCCTCTCTAAATTGAAGTTTATAAGATAAATAAAGAAATTCAAAAAACTAATAGATCAATTTCAGTTTGGCAAACATAACTTCGAGAGAGATATATTTTATTTATTTATTTAGGCTGAATGGCAAATCCACTTCAAATCGCACAAAAAGTTAAAATGGTAATCAGAATGATGGAACCCATTTATTATAAAAGATATACCCTAATATAATTAATCTCATGGTGGCTCTTATTTTTTATAGAAAAAAGAAAAAAATCTTTATTGACAAGGGATCTTCTATCCCCAAGATCAACCACACTGCTTATGCTAAAGGCTAGTAAGTAATTGAGCTCTTCCCCATAGTGAACAACCATTTCTATATGGTAGCAAAGCTTCACTTAGTTTTAAGGGAACTATTTCAGTGCAGGTTGATAGGAAAACCGCACGGCATGGGTAGAAGTTAGGTATTGCTTGTGGGGGATGAACCCATTACCCATTGGTCGTTCTTTATCATTTATCCTGGCATGGGATCCGAAGCAAAGAGATTCGGACGAATTCCTTGCTAGCAATGCTTACTCTCTGTTTCAACATGGGAACCCTACACATTACCTGTAAGAAGTCCCACTTGGCTTTTTCTTGTGAATAGTTGTACTGAAGAGTGTGTTGTTCAGACCTACAGAGAGTCTAATCAAGGATGTAACCACACAGACACTTGTCTCATCACCCATCACTGCAGTTCTAATTGATCCTTGCCTGATCGACAACCAGAGCTGTAGATTGTGATAGGTCAATTCCCCATAGTTTGTTCCATTGATGACAGATATCATCACTGTCGTCATGCATAACATAAGGAGGCCCATTCATGTGGGATGATTCTCTTTCATGGGTGGTGGTGGTGGTGGTGGTGGTGGTGCAGGCTTTAAGATGCTTGCCCCACTGTTTAAGCATGGAGGCGTATGATACTACCTGCTGAGCCAAAAGCCTCAAAAGGAAACAAACGATATATGAAGTATCTTGCAAGTTAACTTTACGAAAATAGAGACTGGACCAAAACAACTTTCATGGACTGCCCTTGTGGTCAGAAAAGAGGCACATACAAGAAAGGAAAACCAAACCCATTTTTCAAAAGCATCCGTCAACCATGGTTGACTCGTACATAATTTGTGAAGATCGCTATCTTCTTCTTCCTTTCCTTTTGCCCTATAGCATGCGAGATTTGCTTTGACCTCACTCAAATCTTCTCATGATTTCTTCACATGGTTTGAAGGCTTTCATTCCCATGAACTGCGCCTCACCGCTTTTTTCTTCCTTGAGTCCCTCGTGTCTCGAAAAATTCTATGGTCACACATAATGAAGAGATGACATGAGAAGTATTTGAAGCTTTTAGAAAACTGGGATACAGGCAACAAATAATATCCTTCTTTTTTCTTTTTTGTTTATATATAAAGCACTCCTACAGTTTTGAAGACCAATGGGGAAGTCAATAGTTATAGATGCTTTTTGTATGAACAATTGCATCGGTAAAAGTTTTTACTCAGCCAATGCCACAATTAAGATCATCGAAGATCAATGATATCAAGTTTTAGGTTGGGATTCATATAAACATCTGTACAGGCCTTGTAAATGGGCCCACCATCTGTAGGTGGATCATGTGGATGAAATCCCCGTTTCTGGCACTGTCTGATAACCGACATTCCACCTGGAGTTGTCAACCTAAAGATGCCATGGGTTCTGCACAAGGGAGTAAACTGAGCTTGATGAAATTTGACAGACATTGACCAAAAAAAGGAAAAAAAGAAAAAAAGAAAAAGGAACAGCTCATTATGACAATGACACTTGCCTTGAAGAATCTCTTGGGGCCATGACAATGGCAACAGCTTCTGGCAACATAATCTGAGAAAGAAAAAATGTTGCGTGAACAAGAAAGAAACTGATCGAGGAATAAAAATATTGTTTGCTTCTTTGTTTGCTAGGAAGTTGTTTTCTGCAGATCATGCCAGAAGTTTATCAAAATGCACCAAGGCGTGCATCTAGCAGACACTAGAATGGGAAGGAGTGGATTTTTTTCTAAAAAGAAATTCCTCTCCCTCATCATGGGCAAAGAGTAACAACATACTATAGGCAGGGACTTAAAATGGCTTCAGCAGTTTAGAATACTGACAAAGTTAAGCACAACACAACTGCACAGTAGGGGGACTTTAAAATGGAAAGACACTAGTAGAGCATTATATAATCATCCTCATTGACATTGTTTATAGTCCGTGGTCAAACTCTTCCTGAAGGGTATGCATTCACCTTTGAAACTTAACAAACATACACAGGATTTGCTTATGACTTCCTGTGCAACAAAGATAGATCTATATACAGATTTCATAATAGCAGGAAGAGGCACTCACCTGATATGAGTAATGGGTGTGAACATCAATTGATGACATGAAACAAGACTGTGTCGGATGGGTCTGGAATTTGCACCATAGGGATTCAATAAATCAATAGAACTTAATATAAAAATAAAAAACAAATAAATTGTAGATGTCTTCCAGCATTTGAAGATTAGACACCTAACTACAAGCCAAGCACATAGCAACCAATTAAAACCAAAAGAAGAGCCTGTAGAATGGTGGGGCTAAGTTGCCCACGTTAATCGGATGCTTGATTAGTTCTAGACATTCGAAAGAAAAGTAATAGAGAGGATCATGCATTCCAACAAAATTTTGGACATATTCCATTTTGAAATCACCTTTATCACTATTAACTTGACAATTATGTAGCTCTTGCAATTAAATTAATTCACCATGTAAAAATGATAAACTTCTATTGTTTGTTATGAGATGCCTTCGCCAATTGGAAAATCAATCTAATTGTGACGCCGATCAAGCAATTGCTGCCACTGAAACTCCTAAATCAGACCAGATTTTAGAGCACATACATTTTGACTAATGTTTGCCTTCTTGGTCTGCCAATAAATAGTAAGAACTGATAGTTTCCAAATAAATAACAATTTCCCTAATCATAGCAAAGATAAGTCAACAGCTCAAGTCCTGCACATTCTTTACCATATTGCCACTATCAAAACCTTAGATCTGGAGTATGTTTGTCCCAATATTACCAATATATGGTGGAGGTAATAACCCTTCATGTTCAAATCTGCAATGCATAAAGCTAAATTTTGTGGCACATAAAAGGGCAAACAAGAAAAAGAGTAGGATATCCCAGCCAAGGAACATATCAGTTCAGTAGAGTAGATGGATACCAAATGCAGAGACACATCCTACAGAATAACTCTAATCATAATAGTAACAAAAGCAACATCAATAAAATAAACATAAAACAGGGTAATTAGACCATAAATTACGCACATGAATCCATCCAAGTGGGAAAAGGGATCTTTTATCCTGCACTTCAAATATTTCTTCTTCATTTGTAGTCTGACACTGATTAAAAAAGACGCATTTCATAACAGTTAGAGAAATGAAATAACAAAAGCAATATGCAATAGCTTGGCTCGACCCATGATGAAACTGCCATACCGAATCTGATGTTGATTCCTGCTTTGGAATAATGAGAGCTGTAACATAGAACTTTCTGTTTTTCTGCAAAGCAGAGATGATTGGACCATCAGAATTATACATTGAAATATCAAAACCAATAACCTTTAGGCTATCAGGACTTACAAGTGAACCAGCAAGGACACCACAAGTTTCTAAATTCTTATCAGTATTTGACTTTGCCATCTTCATGAAGTTCTCCATCAATGTAGTTGACTGCAAAGAGAAACAATTGTCAGACGAGAAGCCCAGAGAGAAGCATACCCCCCTCTTTTTCTAAACACAATAATCTAAAATAATTACACAAAGAGCACAAACATTCTGAGTTAAAAATTGAAGCCAATAACCCAAAATGGAAACTGGAAAAAATATTAGACAACTCATTCACAGTAAACAATTTAAATCCTCAGAGAGATTAGTAATAGTTAAATTCCCAAATGATGTAAAACATAAGAGCAAGGTTGTTGAGAAGCTCACAATGTGCAGTTGCAGGGGAGATTCGGGACAAACTAAACCATCAGGTGAGGAAATGTCCACTTTATGTTCTGCCTCAGATAACTGGGGAGGTGTCGCAGGGACTAAATCTTGTACTTCTGCAGGAACAGATAACTGGGGAGGTGTCGCAGGGATTAAATCTTGTACTTCTGCAAGAACAGGGGGAGGAGAAGGTTGCCTAATAACAGTTGGGGGTTTGGGGGTTTCTGTTGCTTCAAAAGAAATCAAAGAACAAGGTTCCTCATCACGGTGCATCTGATTATCATCATGCATGGTAAGAATTGGTTCTAAACTTGATCTTTCTGGTTCTGAGCTGCTAAGCTCTGATTTTACAGAAAGTTCGTCTTTTACAGATTCCACCAGCCTGTTTCTACACAGAGATTGCCCAATGAATGAATCCAAAACCAGAAATATTTCAAATACAGATGCAACAAGATTTATCATGGATAGAACATTTCTTCTGAAGAATACAATTCAAAGAGAAACAAATAAAACTTCTACCCATCACATAATGCTTTTAGAAAATATATTGTAATTATCATGCATAATTTTGACTGGGCATATCTAGTTAATCTGCATAAAATAGGACAGAATTAATCCCAAAACCTATATAAGAACCTACCTTGGGATTTCAACTGGTGTTAAGTCGATGATGCTTGGGTATTTGACCTGCATTTACATGAGATATGTCATTGAAAGTTGTGCATATGAAGAACCAAAAGGTCGAGGTATAACACGTACCCCTTCATTAGTCCTTGGTGGTTGCCACTGCCCATTAAGGCCATTAGGTCCAAATATAGAATGTCTAGAGAGGGTCTCCTCGTTTGGTCTTGGAAAGTTAAAAGAACTTCACAAAGATAGTAAACAAACAAAACCAATCAGGGATGCTGAAGAATGCCATATATTATTCAACATCAACTCATATCTTAGTTCACATGCACTAGAATTGGCAAACTATATTCCCATTCACAAACAGAAAGATTTAAACTAAATTTATTTCTGTTGTTGCCATCATGCTCCTAAAATTACCAGATGACGATTTCTGCAAGGCTGATATTGAGTGCCCAGATGTGATCCAACCAAAAAATAAGCAACCAAAAGGTGCAAGATTCAACTGTAGTTTTCAAGCTTAAGGTTGGCCATCATAGAGATCTCAAGCGACATGGGTTTAATTGACCATCAATTGTTCATCATACCCAAACCCTACCATGGTGTATGCATACCTGTATCTGTGGGTGTAATTGGAATTACATTAAACTGGAATTCTTTTATGTACATCCTGTCTATAATTTATGTGTAATTTAAATTGTAGTGTTAATTCACATGAAGACGTCAGAAGTTGTGATCACAAATACAACTGCAAATGTAATTTCTTTGAAAATCAATTTCAGAATTTTTAAGTGCTTTTAACAAATTAATACGATTAGCGCACACAAAGCAAGCACCAACTATATAATAATCCACCAGAACATATATGGATGGAATGCTGAATAGCTAAGGAAGGAAGAGATATGGGTTAACAGCAGCACATGTGTTTATGCATTAGGAAGTTGAGAGTCGCTTTGAAACATTCAGCCTAAAGTCAAAGGGACAAAATCAAAATTAATAAGCTGCAATGCAGCCATGTCTGAGATTTCATGCAGCACTTCAAAGAGAGTTTAAGTAAAAAACTTGGAAGAACACTTACACTCTGCTGAACTGCTGTTGCACTGGCCTAACATATGAATATTGTTGAGTTGTTGAACCTTGATACACGGATTCTCCAGCAACTGGTCTCACTACCTGTCAGATGTAGAATAGTTCGAAAGATCACAAATTTTAAATTTGTCAAGTAGAACCATATGCACAACTCCACATGAAAAAGAGGAACATGGGAGAACTTCTCCCTAACGATGAACTAAATATCAAAGAGCCATAAAGATGATAATTATGGCCTAATATGAAATAGCAACTGTACCTTTGTCACAACATTGCCAATCAAGGTTTTCTTATTAAAAGGAGGTTTATCTAAAAGATCATTTTGATGGTTATAGCTCCATCCATTGACTTGATGTGTATGTTTTCCATTCAACTCATTTATCCTTTGTCGTACTGCTGGCTTCAACTTCTCCAACTCACCCAAAGCAATCAAAAATTTCTGCAATAAAAATTTGACATCAACATAATGCCAAGCTTTGCAACAAGGAATTCTTGTCCCATACAAAAATAAAGACAATATTACCTTTCTTAAGTAATCTTTTTTGCTTTGGGGGAATGCCCTATAATCTCTATGACATGGTATTGTTTCTGAGACCAAGCTGAAGCAAACGAAGGCAGGTAACGTTAGTGATAGTTTCAGGAAAAAAAAATTCAGACTAAAGATAAAAAAGAACAGAACAAGATGAAGAAATGGAACTAAAAAAGCTCTAATTAAAGTAACTGCAGTGTGATAATTTTTCGTGCAAAACTGAAGAAAAACATAGTTTTATCTCCAAATCAATCCCATTCCCCCCACCAACCCCAAACAACAGTTATCATCAAAACAATGCAGCATCCTCCCAATTCCTTAAAACCCAACAAAGTTGCAAAGTAAAACGAAAGAGCAACAAAAATAAATGGCTTTTCTTCTTACCTTGAAAACCTTAGTAACAAAACATACAAATCTATGATATTCTTCTCTGCTCGAAAAATGTCAGCCTACAATGCAATAGAACGTTAGAATAAAAACTTATAAAGTTACAAGTCCATTGCCAAGAGGTAACGAGATTACTGTCACAACATAACATCGCTAAAAAAAATAAGAGGGCGTTCCAGCCATTTGGGAGAGTCCTGAATCCTGATAGCTAGCCACCTTACAGAACCAAGCAAACATATGTTCTTAAGTATCGAATATTTTGTTCTTAGCAACTCAAACCAGTCAAATCACAATAAAGCAGAAGGAAAACAAGATCATCTTGCTAAATAAATTACAACAGGTGAAGCTTCTCCATTGACGCTAGTTTGGTTCCGTTTCCTATCAGCTCGTAAATCGAAATCAAACAATTCTCTTTTACTCAAACTACTAGTTGCACCAATCTCACCTAAATAAAACAGTTTTAATTTGCTAACCTAATTTCCTATAAAAATTAATCAAGCATTATCAAGAAGTATCTCAGGCTAATTCATCTATTAACAGTTCAATTATCAAGAAATTTCAATTTTGCAACAGAAAGTCTAAATTCTAAGCAGTATTAAAAGAAAACCATAACCGAATAAAATTTTTTTTTTAAAAAGAGAGAGAGAGAGAGAGAGAGAGAGAGAGAGAGAAAGAGACGAGTAAAACACCTGTTTGAGAATATTATTCGCGATCCGATAATAGATATTGAGAGTAAAACGATTATCGACATCCAGTCTCTGAGTTCTCGCTTCTATATTTATTATATCCGTAAAATTCGAAGAAGTCGAGGAAGACCTCATTCTTTTCTTTCTTTCTTCGAATTTTTCCTTCTTTTCTTGTTAGCCAAACAGCATTTGAATTCTTTGGCGTTTTGAAATTTGATCGGTGATTTTGGGTTTGCGATTAAGAAGAGATTTGAGAGGTCATCAATGGCTGCTTGGTTGCTTTGGGTTACTGAGTTGAGAGAGAGAGAATGCGATGGAAACTAGGAAGGAGGTCATTTGTTTTTATTTCGTGGGTAAATATGGTAATACGTAGAAATTAAAAGGCTTTGTTTGGTGGTTTGGATATTATTTTCCTTGTTGGTTATGAATGATAACATTGAATAGTCCCTATCATTTTATAAATTAGTCGCTCTAATTTTATAAAAGGAATTAAATAATTTTTAAAAAAAATTATAAATAATCAATCTCTATATCAGTTGTGATTACAGTTAATTTAATATTATTTTACTTCAAAATGTATCTTATTTTCTCATTAACCTTTTTATATTTCTAACTTATTTTTTCTTTTCCTATTTATTGAAAAAATAAAAAAATTAAGTCATAAATACATTTTAAAATACAAAAACTAAATAAGTAGTTATTGAAATTAGAGCATATATATATATGGAAAAACTGGAGGGACTAATTTATATTTTACTTTTTAAATTACAGAGCACCAAAACAACTTCTTTTTCCTTGTATAGAATACATTTTGTTATAAAAAAAATATCTCTAATACTTCGAGAGTAGGGCTATAAATAAATCGGATCTTAATCTGAATTCAACTCGAATCCGATGTAATTAAATATATCCGATAAATAATTTTTTTGATCCGATTTCAATTAAGATTTGAATATGTTAATCTATTTATTAAATTAATCGAATCCGAATCCTTCTTGATTCGATCGGATAATAATTCGACCGAAAAATAAAAATAATATTTTTATAATAAATATAAAATTTTAAAAATAAAATTTCAATATATATATATATATATATATATATATATATATATATGAAACTAGGTTGAAATTTAGAGTTTGATTATTATAAAATTCAAATAATGCATATCTTTCCAAAGTGATGATTGTATTTTCAAAAAATTATATATAAATTTCTTGTTATTATCTTAATTCAATTTCGTGATAAATTGATTTATATATCTTTTTAAGAATTGATGTTATTATATTTTTCATCACCATATTTTTGCTAAAAAATAAAAAGGAGTACGAAAAAGAGGAAAAAAAAGACTAGAAGAAAAAACCCAATTGATTGGAATCATGAAAAAATTGAAGGGAATAATAATAATAATAATAAAAGAGCTAATAAAAAATCAAGACGATTTGGAAAAGATTATTGCAATTGGAGTTCATTTTTTAAATAAATTTGAAAACAAAGAAATTTTCTGATTTGAACATATTTGAGTACTTTGGACATAACTTAATGTATAGAGGTCTAATTCATGCTATTCTTGTAAAAAATTAAAGCTAAGAGATAGGATTATAATTTATATGTTTAAACTTATCCCATCTTGACTTGCATCCTAAAAAAAATTCAGGATAGAACTTAGAGTTATTGATGATTATCGCATATCTTTACTTTCGGATATTATGAAGGTAATAACTATTACAAGTAATTGGCTTTTCATTACCGAATAAAAGAATTGGAGACGGTCTAGACCATCACTAAATTTAATTAGTGATGGTTTTGCAATGATATATATATATAAGCATAAGTTTATTATGATGACTAAATATCTTCACTTATCCTAGCAAACCCCTATGTATAAATATATAGGTTTGACACAACTTAGACCTAATTCTCCTTTTGTTCTACAACTACAAAAAAGAAAGATTTTTAGTATTTTTTTTTTTGTATTATATTAGGTTAATTAAGATTAAGATGACAATTTTGAATTTTGTAGGAAAAACAATGGATCGGAGTAAGGAAACCCAAAACCAAAACAAAAAAAAAGAGAGATATTACCAAAGAAGCCGAGAAAAGTCACACGATTGTGCCAAATCACAAAGGAAAACAACTACCGGTCATGTGGCGTTAAGGAGGAAATCGTGTGGATTGCTTAGCAATAAAGCCATATAAGCGGTAGCATTCCATACGGCTAGAGGAAGAAAACCCACACGGTCGTGTGTGTGTCAAGTCGGATTATCTTCCAAAAGAAAAAAGATTATATAGGTAGTAGACATTCCACACGATTTGTAGAGAAGAGAGACATGCTCGTGTCTCATAAAGCAAAAAAGTCTACATGGGCAAAAAGAATTAACACGACTTGAAGGCAAAAGGTATGCGATCGTGTGCCTCTATTCAACAAATCATGTAACACCCTTTATTCAAGGCTTCAAACTCGTGTGAAATTGAGCGACAAACCATCTAACTTTGTTCAGCAACCTATGTGGCCATGTGAGGCCGATACGATGTGATGTAACCCTACTTTTAGCTATAAATAATGATGTTAAGGTTTTATTTCGAGATTCCAACCCTCAACGACCACCATAGATAGGAAACTCTCTCTTTGTAACCTATTATGAACAACTAACCACCATTCTTGATTGAATTAAGTTAAAGCTTTAGGTTAAATCACTATGAGAGTACATATTTTGTTTCTAAACTTATCTTGTTTGAGTATTTTAGGTTTTTCTATATGATTGGTTTATAGTTATATGATTAAATTGATTAGAGTGTATGATAATTGTTTGATCATATTAGCTTATTGCTAGCTAAGTATTCAAGTCCTTGTAATTACTTTTTTAAACTTGTATGTGGTAGTAACTAGGGGTTGATGATTATTTTTCATGTTTTCGTTCAATCCTTTGGAAAATATCAAACTTGGTTACATCTTTCTAGCCCTTAAGAGAGTGGTTTAACGTCACATGTCTTTCTCTAATTAATGCTACTATTGGATCAAATCTATCTAGTACTTAGTAGGTTGTTTAGTAGCTAAGAAATTAATCGAGTATCTTATATTTGGTTAACAACTACGTAAGGAAATACCGGGAACAATATACATGTTGTTGTCCTATGATGAATATTCATGTTTATTATTGTTAATAATTTAATTGATGATCAATGACTAAACTAAAAATGAATACCGAAGTTCAAACAAGGTTTCTTTATTATTGTTATTTCGATTTACTTTAATTGTTTCCAAATACTTTAAACACAAAACCCCCTATTTACTACTTTTACACTATAAGAACAATCAATCAAAAGAAACTCGTCAATTAAGCCTTATTCATGTGGGTTCGACCCTAACTTATCCTAATTACACTATTATGGTTAAGCTCTGTAAGGACATTATACATTTACTAATTTATTGGTGGTATGACACGCCATCACATTTGTCCCCAAATTTCTAATTATATCTCATCTATTCTAAAAGATATTTGAATGTTCAATCTATAATTTTGATCAATTTTTTCGACCATGAATTTTTTTGACCCAAATGTCCTTTTCAAATAAAAAAAAAAAAAAAAAAAAGGCTTAAAGTCACATGAATTAGATGTTCTATTTTTAAAGTCTTTAATATATATATATATATATATATATATATATATATATATTGTATTTGTATTTCAATTTAGGGCATTTTAGTTTTAAAAAAATTATTTGGTCATAAAATTCGATTTCAAGGATAGATTAAACATTTCAAATACACTCACGAGATATATGAGATGCAATTAAGAACCTATTGATTTATGAGAGACATTAGGTATTATATAAAAATAAATGAGTATGTTTATCCTTAATTTGCGTAAACATACTCATTTGTCCTTGTAATTAACCTAATGTCTCCCATCTATATCTAGATTTCCAATTGCATCTTATTTATCACTAAATTTTTTTGAAATATTCAATCTATCTTTTGGATCAAATTGTTCGACCATATTTTTTTTGACCAAAATGCTCTTACCTAAAATGTAAAAAAAAAAAAAATCACTTAAAGTCACATGACCTAGATGTTTTATTTTGAAGTCTTTAATTTCTTTTTGCATTTCGATTAGGGCATTTAGGTCATGTTTATTTGGTCCAAAAATTAGGCAATTTGTCACAAACATAGGATTTTTGTCATAGAATTAGAAATAAGGCTTGATATCCTACTAAAAGCATAAAATCACATTATGTCACAAACGTAGGATTTTGGTTCAAAATTGATAAGCTTTGCCATCTTTCAGCGCAAAATCAAATTTGGACACAAATGTAGGATTTTTTTTTGAAAATTTGAAATAAGGCTCGTTATCCTCACAAAAACAAAAAATCACAATTTAGATACACACATGTGATTTTGGTCCGAAAATTACAACTAAGCGTCTCCATACTCCTAAAAGTATGAAACCAAAATTAAGATACCAATGTAGGATTTTGGTTTCAAAATTGGAAATAAGCCTTGCCATTCTTCTAGAAATGCGAATTTACACTTTGAACACAAACGTAGGATTTTTGTTCAAAAATTGAAAAGGATGGTGAGGGTTGTTTTCAATTTTTAGAAGAAAATTCTATGTTCGTATCTTAAATATGGTTTCATACTTTTGAAAGGATGGCGAGGCTTATTTCCAATTTTCGAACCAAAATCTTACATTAACCAAATTGTGATTTTGCACTTTTAGGAGGATCACGAGCTTTATTTCTAATTTTTAGATAAAAATCTTGTGATTATGTCAAATTGTAATTTTGTTCTTTTGGAAGAATGGTGAGGCTTATTTCTAAAATTTGGATGCAAATCCAACACTTGAGTCTTAATTGTGGTTTCGTGCTTTTTGGAAAATGGCAAGGCTTCTTTCAAATTTTTAGATAAAATGGTTATGCTTATACTCAAATTGTAATTTTGGGCTTCTAAGAGGATGACAAGGCTTCTTTCTAATTTTTGGATGAAAATCCTATGTTTCTATTCAAATTGTAATTCCTTGTTTTTGGGAGGATGATGAGGGTTATTTTCAAATTTTGGACAAAAATCCTACATTTGTGTTCAAATTGTAATTTCATACTTCTAGGAAGATGGAAGGGCTTATTTCCACTTCTCA